CATTGGTTTTATTACTATATTAGGACCCATGTTCTCTATCCTTGAACCAATCCGGCAATCGTTTTACGAATCTCAACTAGACCGCATAATCACAAACTAACACTAATCTATTCGTGTACGGCCTCTGACTTGTTATTTTCTATGCAGCACATGATCTTCTAACTAAATTATAAACCTAAATATAGTTAAACTTAACGTTTGACATTGAAATAACGACGGAAGACGCACGAACGGCAATGGCAACGTCCCACTCACTGCCAGTGCCAGGAACATCAAATTGATTATGTGTATTTAACAACCAAGGAATCTAATTAACAAAAGATAAAGACAGCGATGACATTATATGAAATTGTTAATAAAAATGCTACCCTTCAATTCGAGCTCACGCTAACCTGAGAGAAGATATTTGAAGTCTTTGCCGCTGCAAATAACTTGCTACAAGTGACCGCCGCCATTTTTGCTAGCGAATGTGTGTTTCACGTAGTTTCACATTTTGCCACCAGGGTATTATCGCACGCTGATCAAAACACTGATCTATGTTTTATATAAACCATGTTACTACCGGTTTATAATTATATAAATGAGTACAAGCCGATATACATGATACATAAAAGGTTTTGATGCCGTATGCTACATAGATAGATGCATAAATGCATAGAAAGGCGTGAAATAAAAAGGGTCTCTGGAGGCTAGACTGGTACTCGCTCCCACCTCGATTACTCGATTATTCGATTACTCGATTAGTCACCTAAGCCGAGAGGTAGGACCGGGTACCAGTCTATTTGGAGGCCAAATATGATACTTCGCAGCGCAAACTGTTCTCTGTGTTTAGTGTATCTGAACTAGGCAGGTTTTCACGTGTTGTTTGAAGATCACGATCGCCCGGCGTCTGCTCGGTAATTATATTTATATTGCAAATTACTATGGTATTTATAATTATGATGAAAGCTCTATTAATTAGTGGAATCAAATGTTGCAGTAAAATAGACACAGGGGACTAGCAGCATGATAGTGACAGTGACAGTGTAGCGGTTCACTCTTGCGACTAGCCGTGACCGGGCTGCGACTATAGACTATAGTCTATAGTGTACTGTGTAGTGACCCTAGGGGTGGCCGACTACGATTCGACAGACGTTAGTTCGTAACGCGTGTCCAGTGGTGGGATTCAGTGTCCGCTCCTGCCGGTGTATTAGGCAGGACGGTGATGTCACGTAGCAGATAACAGATAGCACCAGTTTAACAGTTAAACAGAACACGGTGAGATTCGGTTAACGGTACGGTTATATAGCTTTTATTGCGTGTTACTAGTGTACAAATGATTCCCCCGCATTCGTATATGCAGCGGACCTTCTATTGATCTCGTCTAATATTTACGCGTCGCCAGTTTCGTCTTCTTCTCTCCCGTTCGTCCTTGCTTCGCGTGGACCTAGGGAGACTAGCAGTCTCCCAGGTATCTCCCTCGCAGTCGCTCCTAGCTCTACCAGAATGCCATTTTCGCTGCGCTCGTTTTATTCCCCTCTCCCGTTCGGCTCCGGTTTACACCTACCTGAAAAACCTGTGCTTCTATCCTCTCGCCACAACGCTGCTGTTCCCTCTCGCTTTCTCTTCTTCCTTCTCCTTCCTCTTCCCGTTTTCCTACCTATAACCTATACCTGAAAAATAACTCTCCCTCTTTCTCTTCGTCCTCGGCTGCTTCCTCTCCTTCTTCTTCCTCCTCTTCCTCCTCTTCCTCCTTCTTCTTCTTCTCCTTCCTAGACCTGAAAATAACTCCCTCTCCTTCTTCTTCCTCCTCTTCCTCCTCTTCCTCCTTCTTCTTCTTCTCCTTCCTAGACCTGAAAATAACTCCCTCTCCTTCTTCTTCCTCCTCTTCCTCCTCTTCCTCCTTCTTCTTCTTCTTCTTCCTAGACCTGAAAATAACTGCCTGCTTCTGCTCGGTGTCGTCTCCCTTATATACTTAGCTGGCAACACCCCCCCCCCTACGGCTGTTTCACTCGGTTGTGCAATCCGTACCTGGCCGTACCGTGATGACTCATTACGATGTCGCAACCCGTGGCTGGCACGGATTATTGCATCATTCTATGTAACCCATGCCTAAGTAACTATTCCTTGTTTTCGCCCGACAGGCAGCAGCACCAGCAGTAAAGATGGCCGCGCCCAGGTGTCAATATTTACATGCTGTCTATATTTTATCCTGCCTTTAGTCTATATATATAGTCATTATCTCTATACGGTGAGTTCAGTCTATCCATCCTGATCTAGTCTACTACTCCTGTAAGTTATACACTCCCGAAATCTCCACAATAGGGCCAGGGGCAGCGCGTCTCCACTCGCAGCTTAAAATAAAAGCTCGTTAAAAATTCTTAAAATATTTACATAAACAGGCAAGACGGTTGTCATTTTGAATGCGAAGTTTTATTTCCTATCGTAGTTTATTTCAAAAGTTATATCCTGAAGCCGAAAGTTGCTACCTTGACTCGATTGCAACACTGGCTGGTCAAATATAGACAATATGGCGCGGGCGATCTAGCGGGCATGGTAGCAACTTTCGGCTGATATAACTTTTGAAATAAACTACGATAGGAAATAAAACTTCGTATTCAAAATGACAACCGTCTCAAGTGCCTGTTTATGTAAATATTTTAGGAATTTTTAACATAACAGTTTTAGAGTTAGAATGACGATCGAGATATGAGACCTAATACACTTTCATGCCGCCTATAGCGCAATAGCGTATGCGGGGGGGGGGGGGGGTTAACAGCTGTATACAATGCGCCAGTACAGGCGGGTGCGGTTCAAACATTTAATCATCTGTTATTCACTTCTAAGGAATATCTACATTGTGCACCCCCTCTAATAACTCCTGCTAATATGTATAGTACTGCCATAGGCTACAACTGTGCCAAGTTTGATGCTTTTGTCAGCTCTGTAATGATCATGAAGCTAAGGGACCTGACTAAAGTGTTTACAATCACAATCGCATTGAATAACCGAGTTGACGATCAGCGCCGCGCTGCGGATTAGTTCCGCCGGTACCCTATTTTGGAGCATGCCAGTTGACCTACATTCGAGCCACATCCACTTTTTGGCAAAGATGGAAATGGCCACAAGTTAGTTTAGGTTCAATGGGTTTTGCTCATTTCTGGTATGTGAATGAGGACTGGCCCCAAAACATATCACACAAGTTTTTAATTTTTTTTTAATTATGCAAATTAGGTAGATTTTGGCAATTTCACTATGCATTTCAGTGTCTGCCTACGGTCAACAATAACTCAAGAATCATTTGGCCTACATGTTTCAAATTGAATACAGTTGTTACTTCTATGGGAGAGATTTGAACTTCCTATTTTGGAGCACGCCAGTCGACCTACTTTCGAGCCACGCCCAATTTTTGACAAAAATGAAAATGGCCATCTAAATTCATTAGATTTTGTTAAATTTTGGTATGTGAATGTGTAAGGCTAGCCCCAAAACAGTTGTTACTCCTATGGGAGAGATGACAACGTCCTATTATGTTTATTTCGTCTAACTGGTCAACAACTCTACAATCTTACCTATATACGTGTAATATTGTGTTTTAGATTCTTCGTTACAGTTCATTATTATACTATAGCTCCTATTACCTTCATTTAACAAACATCATCGTTTCAGCCTTCGCAATGGCTACGCCTACGGATGCAGGAGTTGCCAAGATCAAAGCTGAATACCTCAAACAAGACCATGTGCCTCAGCTGAATCTTGAATACACATCTCCCGAGGTATATCTTATCAATTATTACGTATTTATTGTCTGTGTCACACGTGTGTGCATATAGGGTGTTGCTATCTCCCGGGCGTGGAGGGACAGTACCGCAACGTGGCAGCACTAAACTAGTGTTAGGATTAGGTTTAGGATCAGGGTTAGGGTTAGGGTTAGGGTGATGGTTAGGGTTAGGGTTAGGGTTTTTGCATCATGATATCTGTCCCCACACCATAGATTAATTTTTGTGGATGACACCCCTATATATAGAGATCCGATATATAAATATTTAGTGTTAGGGTTAGTGTTGGAGTTAGGGTTATTGTTACTGTTAAGTTTTGAAGTATACGTCAACTGTATCACGTGACCGTCCCTCCACGCCCGGGGGATAGCAACACCCGTGCGTATATGCTTGCATGTTTGTGTTTTGTCACTGTGTGCTTGCATGTATTTCTGCATGTTTGTGTTTTGTGTGCATGCATATATGTAGCGATAGCAGTCTGATGACGCCATACGGGCGAAATTGAGCAAAACAGCACTTCCCGCATGTTTATGTTTTGCGTGCATGCCTCCCAGCACAGCATGGTGTTTGGTTGGTTTGTGTGTTTATGCATCTGAGTGTTTGTGTTGTGTCTTTTTTTATGGGGGTGTGGCCTGTTTGTTTCAGTGAATCTGTGTGGGTGTGCATGTGTGTCATCTATCTGAGAACCTGAGCTTTTGCACGTGTTGACACAGATTCATGAATATCGCTCGATCTTGTCTAGATAAAGAAAGCCATGGAAAGGCTGGCCGATGCTTCTGGGGACGAACCGGCAAGCAAACGAGTAAAGATCAAAGGACAGAACAAGAACCGACCGAGAGAGAAGCGCGCTCCTATGAGTGAACGCCTGTGTCCGCATCTGCTGAGGGAGACGGAGTGTCCGTATGGTGACAATTGCCGCTTCATTCACGATGTGGAACGTAGGTGTCATTTCACGGGCTCCCCGTGCAGTCAGCTTATAGGCGGCGTTGATTGCTAGGCCACCTTCTATTGAAAGTCTATTAGTATACAGAGTTTATTATGATTGTAAATATAGTGTATTTACCGACAGTGTAGAGACGTCATAATTTGGCAAATTGCACTTTACATACTTGGCTGGCCCTATTTTCATTCTCTCTCTCTCTCTCTCTCTCTCTCTCTCTCCCTCCCTCTCTCTCTCTCTCTCTCTCTCTCTCTCTCTCTCTCTCTCTCTCTCTCTCTCTCTCTCTCTCTCTCTCTCTCTCTCTCTCTCTCTCTCTCTCTCTCTCTCTCTCTCTCTCTCTCTCTCTCTCTCTCTCTCTCTCTCTCTCCCTCTCTCTCTCTCTCTCTC